TAAAGGAGGCATACAGCTTGCATCCGTCCTCCAGCGGTCGTGCCGAGCGGGTAGTACCCCGGGAAGGCAGTGTCCTATCCGGGGTCTACTTGCCGGGTTGTATCTCCGGTATGAAAGCCGCCCGGGGTCTGACACGATGCCGGAATCAATGACGCAGTGTAGCACCCATAACGCGGACCCGCGGGCGTTGAAATGTGGGATTCAGTTCCGCAGACTGTAGAAACAGACGAAACATGCTTTACTTACCTGATTAGATTTCTAGCTGATTTCAGGCAATGAATCTAGCATTCGCAAGTATGGTCGAGGTTGGAGTTGTAGATAGCTGCGCCTGGGAATGACGGTGAGATAAAGCAGTAGCTGGGGAATGGTTCATCCTATACCGTCGGGGTATAGACTATATCTAACCAAAGAAGCGATAATATGTAGGCTTTCTGAAGTTAACCTCCTCAGCCCTACCATCTTTATGCCTGCCACTCTTTCCATGAATGACTGCATGTGTTTCCCTTGCTATTCCTCAGGAAAATACTCATTGATTGGTCAAATCGGGTCTGTCCTGAAAATGGGGATCTGAACTCGTTCAGAGCCACCGACTTAATGGTGACTATCCAGTGGAGTGGAGGTTTTTGTTTGTCTAGCGGGGAGGTCTAGAATAGGGTCTACTTGCGTTAGTCTCTCACGTCTCTACTCTGCAACTTTGCTCGGTGACGGCCTTTGACGTCTCTTGCCAGTCCAAGAGAATATCGCTGGTGAGACTCCTTCCTGCTAATTAGCACTTACCCCATCCTTCGTGCCCTATCTCGCTAGCAGAGATCCGGAATAGGTCCCGTAAATGTTAGGAAACTCCGCGGAGTTCCACCAGAGACGTCCAGAAACGCCAGAGCGAGGCTGGCTGTTCCAAGTCGATATGGGAAGCGTAGCCGAGCCAGTCCAAGCAGAATCGGACAGACAACAAACAGACTGCAAAGAGGAGCTAGGTAATCAAGCCCTGGTTCAGTTTCTGAGCTGATCGAAGGAACAGGCTAATCTCACTGGGTGAACGAGGCGCCCTCTACGTGTCGAGCGGTTCGTCCGATCCTGGGACCATGAATCTGACATCGCCTTAGCGCGCCTCTCGCAGACGAACTACGGAATATATTAGTCTAGGTGCAAATAGTCCGCAAGTAGCCCTCGTAATCGAAGGCCCAGGGAACGCCACCAGTTCGGCTACTGGAGGACGGTCCATATAAGAACCCTTCCAGTCACTCTTTCTCACACCCATTTTGTTTCCCCATACTCAGCATTCGTGCACCTATAAACCTATAACAACTCCAGCCCTCAGCCATGCATCGCATACTGACAGCGGCAGCGGCAGCTCTGCTCCTTGCCGTCGCAACCCCGGTCACAGCAACCGGAGGCCCAGAAGAATGCACCCCTGCCACTGCCCCATTGCAACAACTCCTTCAAAGCCCTTCCTTCGAGTCCGGCGGCCTTGAACCCTGGGAGGCCCGAAAGCTGTGCACCCTGGATGACCGTGGGGATCTGACACCCCCGGAGATCGTAGAGGATACGGCAAGAGAAGGACTTGTATTGTGAGTCCACCACCACCGCAGGTGGCCAAAAGTCCAGCTTATCCTAATTCCTAACCCTTCTTGCCCTTCTATCGCTATATCAGTCGACAAACCCTCTTCGACAACACAGTCTGGGCCCTCTCGCAGAACATCACAATCGTGAATCCAGGCCAACCGCACAACATCTCGCTCTGGATTCGGAACGATTCCGACGAAGAACAAGCACCGGGATCACAATCCTGCATTACCCGAATCACCGTCGACGGCACCACACCCTTGCAATCCGTAGCCGTCGTCTCGGTGCCCGCAAACGCCGGGTGGATCTTGCGATCCGCTACCTGGACCCCCTCCAGCACGGAGCATCTGTTCGTCGTGACGTATGGCTGCTCCGTTGTCGGAAGCACGGTGTACTTGGATGAGATTCGGGTCGTTGGGCCGGGGGGGTGTTCGTCTACTACCACCACAACTACTACAACGGCGACGACAACGACAACGGCGACGACAACGACAACTTCAAGCACGACCACCACCACCTCGCAGAGCCAGACCACCACGGATCCAACCGTAACTCCGTCCACAACCCCATGCCCGACCTCCGTCTCCTCCTCCTCTTCCTCCTTCACCACCAGCACCAGGACAGCCTGCCCTCCTAAACAAACCATCACCGAGACAGTCACTGTCACGGAAACGGAAACGCAGACCACCTGTCCTTCGTCACTGCCTCAGGTGCTGAAATGCGCTATCCATGCTATTCACCACTAGGTCTGTCTGTCTGTCTGTCTTTTATTGTCGGGTTTCCGCCTCCTGCTCCTGTTCACTTACCCAATGACTGGTCCTGACCCTGACCTTAACTGAAATGGCTGTTAGTATTTGGCAGGGGCTGTTTCGTTAAATTTCCTGATAATCGGGAATTGAAGCCCTTACAGCACTAAATGGCTGATCTGATTTATATATGACATATATCAATTTCAGGCAAAGAGGGTGATGGCTGAGAATGAAGAGATTGAGGTCAGGATTATATATGCATATGTATATATTACCAATTGTAAAAGAGCGAATGGTAAATCTACTTTAAGCAGGGAAACAGAGCATTCCAATATCAAGAACTCTCCATATGCATCAAATATAAACACTGGTGTATTATTTCCTATTAAATCCACAAATCCAACCCCCAGTCCCCAAACAACCACCTCAACAATCAACCCCAGCAAATCCTACATCCAATCCCCGCCCTGGAAAGGTTCCAGAGACAAGAAAGAAGCTTACTCCTTGAACTCCTTAACCCAGAGCGGCATCGCCCGGTAAGTGCTGCTGTGAGCCCCATACCAGTAGATGGTCTTCTGCGGGTTGCTTCCGTAGCCGTCGACGGCGAACCAGTCCTTGTCGGCGTGGGTGAAGTAGCCGTCGTCGGTCATGCCGAAGTCAGACATGCTGGCGCCCTCAGGGACGGCGCCGGAGTGAGGCCGGGTCAGCTCGACGGGGAGGACGGTGTTCTCGACCACGAAGACGTTCTGGAAGCCGGTCGGGGTGGAGTCCTTCGAGGTGAAGGTCACCATGCCGGTGTCGCCGTTGGAGCGGACTTTTTAGACATTGTTAGAAGGGTGTCTGGGGGGGAAAGGGGAAGGGGACGGGGCTTACAGATGGCGATCTCCTGGCTGGTGGTGTTGCCGTTGACGTAGAGGTATTCTGGGAGATTGTTAGAGGGATGGATCTGGGAGAACGTCCATAGATATGGACCGAAGGAGGGTTGGCTTACGGCCGTCGGTCAGGACGGTGGAGCCGCCTTCAGCGACGAGGGTGAAGGCCGGGGGCAGAGAGGCGGCCGTGACGGCGCTGACGAAGGCAGCGATGGAGGCGAGAGAGAACTTCATTTTGAGTAGATTGGTGTTTGTTTTCTTGACAGAAAGCGAGAGAGAGAGTTGTTCTGATGTTGATTGCTATTACGAAGGGAGAGCGTCTTGGGGTCTTTATATGCTGGACAACAGCCCGAGCACGATACAACCAATATGTGTAGACTGTAGACTGACGTCGATTTAAGACATGCAGAAGGCGAATGCCGATAGTCCAGCTCCACGGTGCAACGGCCATTGGTCTCTGGCTTCGGGGCCTGTCGATCAGTCGCTGTTTATGCGTCGACGGGTTCTATTGTTCTCCACCATAATGCCACCATGTGCTTCTATTCTGGACCAGCTCCACAGCATGTCCAAATTTCGGTATCTGCCCCGAGGAGCGCAGTCGGTGACTCGGTTGGCTCGGCCCAGGCGGATAAGGAATCCGGTCGTTGCCGCGAAGATTTCTGGAATGAGCATGCATGCACGTATGTCGATAACTAAGGTCGAGCTGGGGGTTGCTCCAGCATAAGGGAGGGACACTATGCAGAGAAAGTCGAAGGAGCTGCATGCTAGGCCTTTCTGTATCTGCACAATGCGTCTCGAGAGGTCAAGAAGTAGCAGCCCGGTTCAGGCTGGAACTGCGCATAGGCCGTCGCCGCCGTCCGTCGACGTATCCATGATTCTGAGACAATGTGCCAGATTCGGCAGTCTGCTGGCCATCATCCCGTCCGTGATGCACAAAAGTCGGTCTGCATTGGCGCTGTCTTTCCCAACGTGTTGATTCCCCTTTTAGAAGGACTCTGTTTGCCGTCCATGGAGTTTCTGGAAAGGGGATGTGTTCGACGGAATGTTCCTCGGGGAATCCGATAAACAAGCTTTCGGGCGCGGATTTATTTCCGCAAAGAATCAACCCTGGACGCCTAGCTGACCGGCCTCGTCTCGTGGCATATCGACCGGCCCTTAGATGTCCACGGAATAACAAATTTGCATGAGGAAGCCCGTTACGTCACGTCGGCATAGTAGTTACTGAGACTGCTAAGTCGTCCCGTGCTTGTCGAGCAACTGATGCGCCAGGAGGAAGATACATGGTTTTCTTCCGGTTACCGCCTTGAAGACAAGACTGGATGCAACCTGCACCTCAGAATAATTTTCTGGTCTGATGAAGAACACCTGAATAAAGAGCCCTTGGAAATAGGTTTTCTGAAGGATAATAGCATGTACCGAGAGTCGGAGGTGGATAGTGCGTAGGAGTTGAAGAAATATATATTTCTGACGGATGAAGGGACAGTCACACTGCACAAGGGGTAAATTCCACCCTGGGCACTATTGTTACAAGGTGTGATATTGCGACTGAATACTGCCATGACTTGACAATTTGGTAGAGAGCCAACCAACAGATAACCTTAAGTGCCTGATAGTTCCTGTCCCTGTTCCACGGGCGCTGAATCCATGGGCCGGATATAAACGAGGGTAAGGAGGCGTGACTAACAAACTTCGACGTCTTCTGATACTGACAAAAATTAGACGCCAGATGAATCCGACCGAGAGAGAGAATGCAACCTTTTCCAATTTTAAAGGCTTCTTTTAATCTCCAAAGGGCCGATTAAAAAAGAAAAAAGAATGCCCCCACACAGATTCGAACTATGGACCTCTTCATTACTTAGCAGTAACTACGAGTGAAGCGCTCTACCACTGAGCTATAAGGGCATTTATTACTGAGTGTTGATCTAATATACCTTTATCAGTTCATATCTATATCCTATCTATCTAAGAGTAGTCTAGTCCAGTGTTCAGATGAACAGTGCTAGTTGCCCTTCTATTATATGAAGCGCTCTACCACTGAGCTAAGGGCAGTCATTACTAAGAGTTGATTTAATGCAGATTTATCAGTAAATATGTGTGTACCCGACCTATCTGGGTAAACGGTGCAGGTTGCCCTTCTATTGTATTCAACGTGGATCCAGGGTAATTTCGGAGTAGCTGATATGTTATATCTATGATTATCACTCTCATATAGAGGGTTAGATCCGAGCGCCGGCTAGCGTAGAGTTCAATGTCAATGGTCTAGATAGGAAAACTTGACTTACAGCCTTGTAATATAGGAGTAGGGATAGGGGATCTGATACTCCAGACTTACATGACTAATAAACCCTGACGGTAACGAGTAGGAGATCGGAACTGGCTATTTACTACGGCACATACAAGGCATATCAAATATCATAATTGTTTCATATTCCACACATAAGCCACACTACCATCTAGCGGGTGGTGTATCCACCGTTCGCAAAGATGGTCTGCCCCGTGATCCACTTGCCCTCTGTGCACAGAAAGCGGACAATCGGGGCAATGTCCTCGACCAGGGTCAGCCGGCCGCCCATTCCGTTGGCCTTGTGGAACTCCACGGCTTCGGGCGATTCCTGCGGGTAGAAGAAGGCTGGTGACGTTAGCACCCTTGATTCTTTCCGAGTCATAGAATGGAAAGGAGCGGGATTGCGTACGAGTATCCATAGGACCAGGGGCGATGTTGTTGACGCTGACGCGACGGGATTGGAGTTCTTTGCAAACACCGCTGTGGTGTATTAGCCAACCGATCATTGAGAATAGGGGACGGGACTAACCGGGTGAAATGCTCGACTGGGGCTTTGCTACCGGCGTACGAGGTGTAGTATCCGGTAAACGCACCGAGCAATGCGGTGACGATCGTGATGATCTTGCCGTCGTCAGAGACGTGTTTGGCGGCTTCCTTCAGGACGAAGAATGCGGTTTTCGAGTTGATGCTTGTCACTGTAAGCCACATACTAGACGCCCATTGTTTGGATGAGTAACATACGCAAACATCGAATCGTATTCCTCCTCCGTAATCTCCGTAATAGGCTTCTTGAGCACCTTGCCGACGGTGTTCACAACGATGTCAATCTTGCCAAAGTCGCGCAGGGTATCCTCGAAGAGCTTGGTGACGGCAGCGGCAGAGGTAAGGTCGGCTTGGTAGGTCACGACCTTAACGGACTGCTTCAGTTCGGCCTCGATCCTGCTAGCGTCGGCCTGGCTGCTGGCGGAGTGGTAGTGGAGGGCGAGGCTGGCGCCCTGGGCAGCGAGCTCGCGGGCGACTTGGGCCCCGAGGTTCTTGACACCACCGGTAATGAGAGCGACCTGACCGGCGAGAGACATTTTGGCTTGTGTGACAACTGACTTGTAAATAATAAGCTTGGGAGAGCGTATAAGTGTACTGGTGTTGGTGAGGATTGAAGAAGGGGTCAGTGCAGGACGAGGGGTATTTATCTTCAGCCAGCCGCAAGCCACACCCAGGGAGCTAAAGAGTATGCACTCGATTTGCGCACCATGAAGTAGTAAGCTGAGCTGGAGGATATCCAGATCGTCCACGGGTTTGAGATGTGATATCCGAATCTGGAATAGCGTGGACGATCGGCGCCGATGTGATAACCTTTTCGGGAAACGGGGCCAGTTGACGGGAGGTGGCGGGGTTCCCTCACTGCATGCCAATTGATTCGTGATATCACCTCTGCAACCTCCGCCAGCCACAATATGCGAGGGTGGATTACTGCGCACCCAGAAAATGCCCTGGGTTCGGGTCTGGTAGCGGTTGACCCGGTGCGAAACTTTCGCAGGGGAAGTACAACGCCGATCCGTTTAGAAAAGCTCCGTTGCGATCGATCCAGATCACGATGCGACGCAGGAGGCCACCGAGACCCAGCGAGCTGAGACCACCGCGAAGCTCGACCGCCCGCTTTAAACCCCGCATGTGGACTGCGTAGTTGTCCACGTCTCCGTACATGGCTTCATAGCTGGCCATTTTCGCGATTGCGCCTATCAACGCGTCGCTCACAGCAGAAGATTGCAGCTCCAGGGAGTCATTTACAGCTTGTACCGCTTCACACCGCAGACAGAGTAGGGCCAGTTTCATATCTGTTAAGTCCAGCATGGACGCATAGTTGGATGCGGCGAGCAGGACAATCACCCGGAAGAGCGATGGTTCGCTCATAACAAGTGGGAACCAATCGGTACGGAGGAGGCCTCTCCTTCCTGGTTGATCCAGTTCAGGAATATCCACGGCCATGCTCATGAGGTCTAGAAGCTGTTACGACCGCGTTTGGGAGGCATTCGGTAGTTAAGGGTTACGTACAGTGGTCCACAAGTTGCGGTAAGAAAGGCCGCCATGCGACAGGGTACGAGCGAAAAGGGTCACCTCGCAGGCCACCAAACGGTCGATCAATCGGCATGTTCCATACTGTTACCGACTGGGGGGTGTGAGGCGGATCGTACTTGGTCAGAGCTCCGGCAACCAAGCCATGTCCGTGCGTATTACTAGGCTTATCAGGTGTTTCAAGCTCGACGATATCGTCCTTGTTATGGCCCTGTCTCTGCGCCTCTTTCACAACTTTCTCGATCGCTGCACCGGATCGCTGCTTGTGCTGCCTCCACTGCCGGCGGGTCACATGGGCGCGGACGTGCGAGTCCTTTGCTAGCTTCAGAGCGTCCTTTGGCTTTCGCACGTTGATGAAGACGAAATCCGTGTTCATGTCGCTGTTGGAGATTGCAGGAAGAGACGACGGGCATTCTGGACAAGAGTGCCGACTGCCGAGAGAGAGAACTTGGAAGACGGTGGACAGTGGAAGCACCTGCGAGCCGACTTCGGCTCCACTTGCCGAGTTTTCTCCGCATCTTGGCAGTTCGTCTCCTCAGTACCTAAGCTACCAGGTACGGTGCCTGTACCTATATAACTGGACATATTGTCCTACTACTCCCTTTCAAGTTGCAAGAACTGAAATAAAGTGGATTCTAGCCCAAGTACATTTTCAGCGGAAAATCATGGTACATCTGGTAGTCCAACTCAACGCTCCATTCGAGAACGAAGCACTTGACAAGTGCGACCACAGCCATCGGATCAAGAATCGGCGAATCAGACGGACATGGTTCTGTATACCTCCAGAAAGAGGTTGCGTCAAGCTCTGAGAGTGCACCATTCCATAACGTGAGGGCTATATCAGTCACAATCCTGACCATGTCGCCAGAGTTTCCGCTGCCTGCAAGAACCGCACTTGTTGCCATATCTGCCATGCTCTCCCTGACAAAGCGGTAGTCCCAGCCTCTGGCATCCAGCCTTTCTGGGTAGTTTTGCACCGCACGGCGGAGACTCTCTGCGAGATGATCTCGGTATCGGTCCATCCTTTCCTTGGCGAATGCAACGAGGATATCGCGAAGTCCTCGGTGAATAGACCAGGAAAGAGGTGACCATGGCAGACAATCCAAAACTTTGCTGAGAATAACTGATTCCTCTTCTGGAACATAGAGAATCACATCATGCTCGCCAGTATCATTGTTAGGCAGAAGAAGAGTAGTCATATTCGGTGGCAGATCCAGTTTCTTGGTAAACCTTTTCATGAGGAGGAAGTCGACTTCATTCACATTCCCACCGAGCATGTTGTATAGATGCCTGCCGCCATGCGCACCACCAAATCCTTTGACAGTGTATTGGAGGATATACTCTCCCGACAGCTTGCGCCCTGGAAAGGCGCACCTAAAGGCAGAAGGAGCGCCCGCATCGATTACTCCAGCCAGCATCTGAAGACATTTATCGACTCGTCGCTCAAATGTTCGAGGGTAGACGTCTTTCATCAAGAAGTGCGAATCATGCGCTGAGAAATGAACCCGTGCAATGTGTCCAATGGGCCATTCGATATGCCATTGACCACAATAGGATGCATATGCAGCCCGATGGCCAGATGCTCCACTATGCCTGAAGACTAGTCTGGCGTTGGTAACACATAGCAATGCCATGAGGGTCGTTCGTGAGATCACAGTGCAAGTGGCCATTTTATCCTTCACAAGGGGCTGAAGCTCGAGGTCAACCCATCCGTCCCGTGAAACAGCCCTAGATATCTCACCCCCGACTGTCACCACGTAGTCTGATTTTGCAACCTGGTTATCGGAAGGTATGTTGAAGCGTGGTCCGGCCTGATGGACCTCGGATTGAGGTGTCGGCTGAACGACGGCCAGTAGTACGGACCATGACGCCTGCTTAGACGTATTGGTTAAGGGTAAGCGACTGACATCCACCGTCTTCCTGCCACAAAGTCTGTGGATGAGATTTGCAACAATGACAGGTCCCACAGGAGGTGGCTTCATCAGTTGATACCACGGTATATGTGGCTGCCGGACCAGCCATTTGCCCAGGTGGTCGCGGTCGCGCAATGAATGGAAGGGGTCTGCCTGGTCGATGATGGTCCCGAACTGAGTAGCGATGGATCCTAGACCGATCACAGTTGCCGCCAACGAGAGCCACGTAGCAACAGTTGAGGATGCCTCCATCTTCTTCTATCTAGCTTGCTTCATGAACTCGAACAAGATAACCGGCAATTCACCCGAATGCGAGCTAAGATAGAACGAAATCACCGAAAAACTTTTGCCTTTTGAAGGTGTGATCTGGACGATTTTCATAGCAAACTTGACATTCAGACGAAAGGCAAGAGAACGGGGTTCAGAGCAGAGTTATGCTCAGCGGCCAAAGCAGGGATATAACAGTCTTCCCGTCATTGTCACTCACAAGGCTAAGCGCTTATGCGCATAAGACATGAACTGCACTGGACCAATCACCTCTCCTCAAGCGTGAACATGGACCTGACACAGCGGCTAGAGTGACTGAGGTGATTGGTGGGTAAAATTAGGTAGCCTCTACCATTCGTTATCAG